ATGAAATTAGTGACAAACTGAGTTGGAGCAGGACGAAGGATTTCTCTTCCATCTGTTTTCTTTCTCATTAAATACAATGCATAACAATGGTTATAAATATATTTGGTAACATTAGAAGCATGTGATACTGTCTCACTTACTTCCTCTAATTTTCCCATGTCTTGCAACATCAAGTTAATGCAATGTGCCGCACAAGGAGACCAAAGTAAAGTAGGAAACTCATTTTCTAATAACCTTCCAGCAGCAACATAATTTGCAGCATTATCTGTCACTATGTGAACTACATTTTCAGGCCCAACAAATAAAACCACCTCTCTAAAAAGCTTATACAACATATCTGCAGTTTTTGAAGCATGAGAAGCATCAACAAATTTTAGAAAAATAGTACCTTTGGGACAATAAACTAGAAAGTTTATAAGAGTTCTTCTTTTTCGATCAGTCCATCCATCGGCCATTAGAGTACAACCAGTTTTCTTTTAAATCTCACAATACTCCTCTATCAATTTGTTCACATCTTCAACCCATTTATTTAACAAATAGCCACGAAGACTATGCATAGTTGGAACTTTATACCCCGGACTCATGCTGCAAAGTGCATCAACCATAGATTGAAAATACGCAGAATTAGATGCATTGAATGGCACAGAAGAATCAATGAACAATCTTGCAATAGCTAGATCACACTTCTCCACCAATTCCTTACTTTGTAACACACTTTTTAAAGAAGGTTGAGCTCCAGGAGTTGTTCTAGGCATAAAATAATTACCAATACGACTAGTATTCTTTCTCTTTTGAGACACAATCACCGAATTTGATCTTAATTGTTCTACATCCATTTCTACTACACCACCCTCTTGAGTAGTAAGATTAACATCAAAATTTTGTGCTTGAGTCTTTCTTCTCTTATTTGCACCTTCATCAAGATTTTATTTCATTTGATATTGAACATCTGGAGGCACCTTTTTACATGTTTCAACTTGACCTTTTATTCCAGCCAAATGGAATTTGAACCTATTAATCCCCCCTCCTCTAATAATTTTATCACAGTAAATACACAAATTAACAAGTTTTCCTTTCTCTTCAATTTGTTTACAATGACCCCAAGTTATATCAGTTTTTCCCCTACTGCTCTGGAGTTGGGTTGGATTTTGAGATGTAACTTCTTCCGAAGTTATTACTTCAGCGGGTGATGTCATATCTAATATCAATCAAAATTTAAAAATACAAAACTATATTACAAAAATATTAACAAAACACAATTCTAAACAAAAATTATTGAATTTATAAAAACATTATAAGAAACATTAAATATGTAGCATATCTAAATCCAAAATATATGAATATGTTGTTGTATATTACATATAGGCTACCAAGCATCGTTACTGTGCATCACCATATATAATAAAAAAATAGAAACTTTGCTTTCCAGCCTTTGTTATATATTTTAGATTAATAAAATCCTGAAACTTTTCTTTGTTATATAATTTAAATTAATAAAAAACAGAAAACTTTGTCTTACTATATAATTTAGATTACATAGTTTTAAACTCAATTTCTATCTCCATAATATATACAACGACTATTACAGTAATATATATTTATCCCAATTTCTATCTCCAATATACAACAACTTCATTACCAGTCTATAATAAGTTAATTCATAAAAGTATAAAACTGCTTCATTCATACAAATTCTATCTCAATTTATTAAACTAAAAGACCCAAATTTTATAGAAAATGATCAAATTTAATCATTTATTTTCTATATCAATTAATCAACAAAATGAAACAATAATATTCATATTGAAAAACATCAATGCAAATTAGACCAAGTAAAAAAGAAATAACATGTTTTTGATGTTTTGATGAAATTTTTTACGGCAAACAAGGAATATCAAATAACAACAGCAAGTGGGAGTTTTTGTTGGTAGAGAAAATTGAGAATATGACTTCAATTAGAAAAAGAAAAGACATAATAAAAAAGAAAACCTTTCAAATGCCTAGGTTTGGGAAACGAGGAGGCAAAGCGTTTATGTTAATTTTTTTTCAAAAGCCCTAAAAAATAAAATAAATAGTCAAATCCGCCAGTTCACTGGTTTAACCGGTGATCCGGCCGGTTCACACCGGTTTCATTCGGTCTAAATGTAATTCCGGTCTTATCCCTTAATCAGACCGCCTGACCCACCGGTTCTCGGTCGGACTGGATTTTAAAACATTGGTTGATAAGATAAATGGTGGCGGGTTTTGGAGATTTTTAAAAAAAAATTCTATTTAATTTATTTTAGATTGACTTTTATATGTTAAAATAGTACAACTTTCTATTATTTTAGTTGGGGAGAGTTTTGAAAATTTTGTTTTTATTTAAAAATCAAAATCTTATAAGTAGGTGAGGGAAAGAAAATGGGAAAAGTTATAAGAAAATTCTAACAATTTATTTAGACTATCTACAATGATAAAATTATTTAACACCTATTTTTTTTTTTTTTTTTACACTCTACGTCATCTTCTTTCTCTTTCACCTAATAATTCAACCTTCATTCAACTTTTACTCACTAAGTGTGTTTTGTTTAATAAAATTCAACATCTTACCCCACCACTTTTATTTCAATTTTTTTATGTTTTTGTTTTTTTGATTATATATTAATAATAATTATCAATTGAAATTAAATTAAATTAATTAAGTGTTAAATAATTTTTTAATTTTTTTTAATTTAAAAACTTATTTTAATTTTTTTCTCTAATTTTATATTCGTAATTACAAAAAAATTTAAAATGCAATACAATACACACAACACACAACACACTTAAAATGAAACAAACATAACTTAATTAGTACAATAGACTCAACTCACATATAATATATTTAATAACGAAACATTTCAAACTTTACTCATATATGTTTGACTAGATCTGCTTGCAATTCGTGATGTACATTTGAATCACGCATCACAGATCTAGCACGCACATGATTTGCAAATGCAGGTAGCATCTCGGTCGAGAATGACTCTGGTGTACCAGACCCACTTGCCTCAGATTGATCATAATTTGTCCAATGTTGAGAATATGTATCTCATTCATCCTCAACAATCATATTATGCAATATGATACATGATCTCATGATGAGAGCCAAATCGGCTATGTCCCACAAACGGGTTGGTTCACGAATGATTTTAAATCGAGCTTGTAACACCCCAAACGCACGTTCGATGTCCTTCCGACATCCCTCCTGATATTTTGCAAATAAATTATCTAGTTCACTTTGAGAAAGTCTAATTGATTTGACGAAAGTCGGATAAGAAGGGTAGATACTGTCGGCAAGATAGTATGCCATATTATACGGATGTTGATTCACAAAGAAGTTCACTCTTAGAGTTTTTCCCTATTCAACATCATCAAACACGGGTGAACGGTCTAGAACATTTATATCGTTCAATGTGCCCGGACATCCAAAGAAGGCATGCCAAATCCATAGATCATAAGTTGCAACTGCTTCAAGAATAACAGTGGTGGTTCCCTTATCTCCCCAAGTAAATTGACCTTCCCATGCTGTAGGACAATTTTTCCATTCCTAGTGCATGCAATCAATACTCCTAATCATCCCCAGGAACCACTGCATTTCACTAACATGTAGTATTCTTTGCAGGTCATCTTGAGTTGGGGCTCTAAGATACATTGGCTCATACAATTGTATGATTCCTTTACAGAATCTACGCAAGCACTCTAATGAGGTTGTACCTCCTATTTTAATGTATTCATCGACCACATTGGTCGCCACACCATATGCTAACATTCACATTGCCGTGGTACATTTTGCTAATGGAGATATACCTTCTTTTTTGGTTGCGTCAACTCTTTGGGTGAAGTAGTTGTCACTGCTAGATAGTTCCCCAACGATCCTAAGAAACACATGTTTTTGCATCCTAAATCATCGACGAAACATTGCATTGTCATATATAGGTTGGTCTGCAAAGTAGTCTTCTATTAGTCTTTGGTTTACCGCTGCATGACAAAATAGAAATCAATATCTTGATAATATAGATGATAGTAGACAAGAAACTGAGTGATAAAATAGAAATCAATGTCTTGATAATATAGATAATAGTAGACAAGAAACTAAGTGACAAACAATGTCTTGATAATATAGATAATAGTAGACAAGAAAAAAAAAAGAGAAAATAGAAAATAGTAGATAAGAAACAAAATACAAACAATGACTTGACAATGACTTGATAAAGACTTGATAATATAGAAAATAGTAGATAAGAAACAAAATACAAACAATGACTTAACAACATTTAATTTCCAAACAGATCCCGACCCAACTTTTCCAACAACTCTTTGCTCCGGTCACCAAGATGCTCCTTTAAACTTAGCTTCATAAACATCTTCGTCTTCTTAGCCTCAGTACTTTCTTTCAAAAATTGGTTAGCTTCATCTTGCCTCATGGCTATTTTGTCCAATCGTTCCAACTCTTTCTCCTTAAATTGTTTGAATTCATTCCATTCTTCATTGACCGATTCCAAGGCTGCGCCATTGCTTTTTTTTTTTTACCCTTTTTTTGCTGCATCCCTCCCCATTGGGCGAGCACTAGATTCTAAGGAGTTGGAATCACTTGCATCACTCTCGTGGGCTCTCTTAGATCCACTACCTACAGATCCACTATTTCCTCCTACCCGACTACCATAACGTGGTTGATCACGGAGAGCGATCCATTCTGACATTAAAATGAAATGTCCACTCTTACCACTTGAATATAATTCATGCGTTTTTGCCAATACATCATTCTCTGACCACCCGCATTTTTGCATACGCCTAACATTATTATAAACGCATGTCCATTTATTAAGTATTTTGTTCATGTAGTTGTAATGATTTCTACATGCAGCTCCATCACGGGGAGGATCAAATGAGCAATGCTCATTACAGTAATAAGCAATTTTACCCCAATATGAATCACTTTTTTTATTTCTCCCAACAACATTGTTTGTTCCATATTTAATTCACCCACTAATTAGAACCAAATTTTGATCAGTGGTCCATTTGGGGCTTTTCCGACGAACATGAGTTGAATCCTCTGCATTTGGAGTGGCTCCATGACCGCCGCTCATGTCACCAAGAGCCGTTTGTGTAGAAAAATCAGGAAATTCATCAAGTCCAACATTAGAAACATTTTCATTTTCCATTGGAGTAGAAGAATAATAAGGTGGTGCTTGAGATGAATATGACATCATAGATCCATAATATGGATGGTAGTTTGGATTAGATGACGATATTATGATATCTGATATATTTTGGGGACCTTGTTGGTTGGAAGATTGATTTTGAAATATATAGTTGAGATTTGGGTAGTCGAAAGGATAATTAGTAGAATTTTGGGTGTTAAGAGGGTTATTGTTGGGATCTATTTCACTAAAAAATTGTTTAGAGCTATAAACAATAATTTATTGGAGGGTAAATAGAAAAATTAGAGAGAAAAAATATATTTTTTTCTTTGTCCAAATCAAATGAACCAAGACTCTATTTATAGACAAAAAAAAATGATGAATTTTGGTGAAAATAAAAATAAATAAAAAATTGATTTTCTATAAAATAATTGAATCCAAATAATTTAGGTGAGATAAAATATAAACAATCACAACAACCAATTATATTTTGCAAAGTATTATAAGTGGTCCACACTCATTTCTCATTCACACAAATTAATCCATGTCACATTCAACACCTTATTTAACAATTCATTGGAGCAATTCAACTATTAAAAAATTTATTCAACATCCCAGTCTTAAATCCCAACATTATAAGTAGTTGGAGTTTCTTCCTTATTATTTTATTCATTGTTTGGTGAAATTCCTTGAGTTTTGACACTCACTAATCAATCATATCCACTACTCTTTAGGACTTCAATTGTTACAAATATTAAATTTTTATAAGTGTTTTTACAATGTCAGTTATTCATAATTAAAGATGGCAACGAGTATTCATATGTGGGGGTATTAGTCTTCCGTTATCCGCTTTGTTTATTAAATATGATATACATATTTGCTCTATATCTATGCAGGTATTTGTTAGACGAATATCCGTAAATTTTGAGATAACCACGAATATTTACGAGTATCAATGTATGTTATATATATATATATATATATATATATATATATATATATATATATATATATATATATATATATATATATATATATATATATATATATATATATATATATATATATATATATATATATATATATATATATATATATATATATATATATATATATATATATATATATATATATATATATATATATATATATATATATAATTTTTTTTATTACTTTTAAAAACACAAAAATAATTTTAAATTTAACACATAATAATAATAAAAATAATAATAATACAAAAAAAAAATCACATTCATTTTATTTTTTATTTTATCAAATAATTATATTAGATTCAACGAAATAATAATAATAAGAGTTTAATATGTTTGTGGTCCTTGTAAATAATCCAAAAAATAATTTTAGTCTCTACAAAATTTTTCTTCAAAGAATGGTCTTTCTAAAGTTTTTCGTCCTAATTTTAGTCTCTCTTAATTTTTTCTAACAGAGACTTAGCATGCCACATCACTTAAAGTCAAATACAAAAAAAAAAAAATTAGTTTGCGGGGGGTTACAAACCTCTAAAATAATTGAAAAAAATAATCAAAATGAAATCCAATAAAACCATAACACAACATCACAATCTTATCATCATCCACAACAATTAAAAGGTATCATCATCATTAGAGGACATATGATATCAGCTGAGGATTCATGGGGTGCTTGGTAGCTAAACATTAGATGAGGTTTAGAGATCATCTTTGTGTATCAAAAGAATCCACATGAGAATGCCCAGAAATTGTTTGATGAAATGCCTGAGAGAAATGTCACCGCATACTTTCTTCTTGCCTTCCTTCTGAATCACTTTGCGACCAATACATTTGTAGACTAAGAAGTAAAACATGACTTGTAATGTCACTAATGTGCATATCAAAATAATTTTCCAAGTCCATAGCACAGTAAGTTGCTTATCAATATAGCTATACTACAGTAGGCTATTAATATAATGATGTGATGAATACCTATAAATATTGTAACTTAGTGGCTTGAAAATTTGCTTTGAGAGACTCAATTATCCGTGGAGTATTTTTTTATCTTCATTTCACAGAGATTTAACTAACGAAATGGACTTTTTTTGAACTATAACACTTGTACTTTCATAAAATGTGTTTGAACAACTTGTTCATGCATTAAAACTACTCTAAAACTATTTCAACAAACTTGTCCATGCCGATGCGCATTCATCCCGACTTACTTCTACAATACTTTTGCATTTTGATCTAAAACAGTAATACCATAATTTAGAAACCAACACATAATTCATCACCAGCTAAGAAAAAAATTTCATTGATCTATATAATACTCATAATATATTCCTTAGATATAATCAAACACAACTCTCAATTTTAATATTGTCAGATTCACTACAGCCTGTGACAATTGTTATGGGAAAATTTTCCAAAAAAGCTATAAGTCCACTGAACCAAATTTTCAAGCATTATCTCTAGTTAGCATGGGACTTATTACATTGATATTCACAACCTATATCATCCTATATATCATACGCAAATTGTTGCTCACTTGTTTGATTCAAAAGTGATATCATGTTTTTGTTTTTGAAATTGGATGGTAGATTTAGGGTGGATGGAAATTTGCTGCATGAGAGAGGTTCATATGCCGAAAAATCATTGTGATATTCAGGTGTGCAAGTAAGTACTAGAATATGCTCTCATATTTGATCCTACTATCATGACAATTCACCTTAAGTATTCTTCACGAAACCCGCATCTCATACTCACCAGTTCATTAAATACCCTATGAGTATTGAGTAGTACAATATCCTTAGCAGTGCGTTTTTTACTCAAAAATTTATCACTAACACAATAGATTACAATCTCCCTACGAGTACTGTAGTACAATATTTATGGTTTGAAATACATAACACACTATTAAGAGCTTACAAGTTCAGTTTTGGTTGTGATACTTCAATTGAAATTTCCGATGTGGTGTCATTTTACTTAAACAGTGAGAAAGATAATAATGCTTCATGGAGAAGCATTGTGAGATTTTTCATTTTGGGTGATAATGTTGGAGAAATATTGTTTCCCTTAGCTGGTGGGATATTCACATTATTTGAATAAATGAAGATGAGTATTTCGGTAGGATAGGTTGGCTCTTTATGTTGAGCAATCTATTATTCATGTTGAGCAATTTGTGATTTTGCTTGATTTTTCGACTAAGACATGCTCACAATTTCTGCTTCCTTTGTGTATTAACGAGGTGCCTTGTGTTTAATTAATTAAAATATGTACATTGAAGTAGCAAATGGTAATATTTAATCTTCTTGATGTTATTTGAGACAGTTCAACTTTCTTCAGCTATATTGTTGTTGATTTATAATTTTGGGTTAAATATGTTTGTGGTATGATGATAAGATTGTTTTGATTGTTTTGATTGTTTTATTGGTTTTATTTGGATTGAAATTTCACTTAATTATGTGTTCGCGGTTCGGTTTGGATCGGTTTTAAGATAAAAAATCATCAGATCCAAAGATAAATTTACTCGCGGTTCGGTTCGGTTTTGGATGATATATTAAAAAAATCCAATCCGATCCTATCCAATTTTATGCGGTTTAATTTAGGTCGGTTTTTGGATATCCAAATTACACATTATATTTTTATTAATGTTATAAAACTACTAATAAATCATAGATTTGATATAATATATAACATATAGTATATTAAAAGTTAATATTACAAAATGAGAGTGGTTGATTATGATTGAAATAATAAAAATAAATAAATTATACCAAGCTAATAACTATTATTAAAAAAATTATTATCATCTAATAATAATTTCACATAGCATATCATGCTAATAAAAAGTAAATAAGTATAAAAATATATGTATGCAGTTTGGTTTGATTTGGATCGGTTTTAAAAAATTAATCCGAAATCCGATCCGAACTGATCGATTTTCACAAAATAACATCCAAACACATTCAATAAATTTCGGTTTTTTGCAGTTTTCGGTTTTTTGGATCGGTTTTCGGTTTTTTATTTAGATTGGTTTGGATTTGAACACCCATATTAATAATCAACGGATACATGTACCATAAAATCTGCATCCATACCCGTGAGTAAACGGATAATTAAATATTCATTATTTTACATGTAGATACCCATTAGACAATCCTATATGTGCCAGTGATGAGTTTTACCCGCAGATATCCATGAGTATAGGTTTTTTTCCATTCCTAATCATAACCAAATTTTTATAGGTGTTTGACTTTTTGGTTAATCACATCTAAAGTATTTACTATGATTAGTTGTGATGCACTTATGATGTAAAACTTTTTATACTGACAATGCATATCAATTAATCTCTTTCTACAATTTCTAGATAAATCAAACTTTAAACATTCATCTTCTAATAATTCACATCCTTCCGATTCTTGGAATCTCCGCCATCTTGATAAATTGAACTTTAAACATCCATCTTTTAAATTCCACACCCTTCTGATTCTTAGACATCTCCACAACCAGTGACCTATTCAATCTCGATTGAATTATCAACCAAGGGTGAATAGTCTTAAAGTACAATTTCTAAATTCCAATATTAGGGTAAAAGCAACCAATTCTTAAAATAATTTTTTCCACGTTGAAAAAAATTATATGTTACTGTAGCGGTAGAAATGTTGAGACTAAGCCATTGGATTGGCTTAACTCGAACAAATCAAATAAAAACCGTCACTGCGCTTTATTGTTTCCAAAGGAATGGGAAAAGAGCGAATAACCCAAAAAAGAAGGAGAGAGAATCTAAGTTCGGGGGTTGGTTATGCAAAGGGAAGGTATTAGCAGCCTAAACATCTACGGTACTCCATAGGAACCTCTTTGAAAATTTGTGTATTTTGGCTATAAATGTTGTATACAAAAATAGATAGTGGAGGTGAGAAAAGAAGTATTTTTTATAATTTTTGCACCCGTCGCGGTTGCGAACCTTTAGTGCCTATGTACCACCTTTCGTGCAATAGGGGATCAGGGTACTCATAGTTCACCTTTAAAAAATTTAAAACACAAGTTTGTTGGTTACTTTTAAGAGATAAGACATCATCACTATATCCGAGTGGAAAACATACTTACTATCTACGATTATGAGAAAAGAGAATTTGCGTCATCTCAAAGTGGAGGATATAGTTTAGATTTTAAAATCAACAAAGCCTCACTCAACACCCAAGTGGAAAATATCTTACTTCACTATATATCGTAGAAGTATAGTAGCCCGCTTCACTACAAGGGTCGACAAGAGTCTAATCTTTTGAGAAAAAGTGTAAGTAAAAAGCCAAAATAGAAAAATGGTTTGAATGAGATTGATTGATTTTTAGTCTTCTCACAAAAATGTCAAGGTATTATTAAGTTGATTAAAGTTTGATTAATAAAATATTTTTGAAAGTGCATGGACCTAAGTCCAAGTTTATTGGGAAAGCGGTTCAAGTTTAGAAAACAAGAATAGTTTTGAAAATGTGGGAGAAGATTTTTGAAATTGAAGAAGATTGGAGGAGATGAAGAGACTATCCTAAAGCATAAGGTAAAAGCTAGGGAAAAGAATCGTCTAACCAATCAAGAATCCAACAATTGACATAATGAGTCAACGTAGAACTCTCATCCTTTAGATTTAAACCAAACAAGCAAAGATAATAGACCTCTTAAGAAAACCAAGCTTCAAATGCATTAAGTCTTATAAAAAATTAGGCAGAGTAACGATTGTATACAGATGAATTCTCAATCACAAACAAAGCATATAATCATAATAATACGCACACAAAGAAAACAAACAACCTAATGTCTTAGGGTAAACCCCAAGAACTCCAAACAAAATAACAGTAGAAGTCACAAAGTTCTCAAGGTAGACAAAGTCTCTAATCCTAAGTCCAAGAAGTCCACAACTCCAAAATGCCAAGGATAGTAACCAAATATTCCGAGTAACCTTAAAGTTTTTTATTGTTCAAGTTGGTTATTAGGTATCTTCAAAAAGAAAATAAAAGCTGAAGTGAGAAAAATAAAAATTACATAAAGATAAATACTCAAGTGAGCAAAGATAAAAATATCATGAATGTAAATGCTAAAATAAATGGTGCGTAAAAGTAAAGGCGTAAAGTAAAAGCATGAAAATGAAATTCAATTGTTAATGAGTTAGAAATTAGAGGTTAGTTGAATGACCATCTTGAAACTTGCATTTGAAAATCCATTAGAAGATTGATAAAATCAAAGCCTCTCAACAACAAGTTTCATTTGCTTTTTGTCAAGTATATCATTCATTTCAAAATCTTAAAGCAACAATAAATGATCAACGATATTTAAATGATTCACTTAGACCAAATTTTATAAAGATTCATTAGAGGATTGATAATACCAAAGCCTCCTAACAATGAACCTCAAGGTTATTGGATCAAAGGTTTCAAATTAAACATACTTGGGCTTGCAAACATATGTTTGGGCCACTAATGATCATTTCTCGAATCAGGACAAAATTTAGCACTATGTTAAGCAATCGTAAGTGAACTTATATAGAAGTCGCACCTATTTTGAGGCCGGTCAATAGCAATCTATGTGCCATATGTTTAGAGAAATAATATGTAGATTATTCTCTAACAACATGTAGCACAAATGAGAAGGGGATAAGATGAAGAGGGAGGGCAAATATTTGAATCAAAGATTTTAATCAAACTATCATTAAAATCATACATCCATTTTGGTGGAGTTAAACTCAACACCTAAGATCCAATGATGTTATTGAAGCTCATGATCAAAAATCACATAGCCAGAATATATTAAAAAAATAAATTGCATTTAATCAACAAAATTAAAAGGGAAAATGATTT